ACGGCTGCTGGCCCTTCCCCAGAAGCATCCTGGAAGGGTGGTTTTGTGGGGAGAACATGAGGTCAATTCTCTTCCTTGGAAAGCTAAAGGAGTCCCCTCAGGAATAATCTTCCAACTCAGCTGCTGTGCTTTAGCCACATGTGTTTGTTTAGTTGCTCAGTCGTGTCTGACTCTTTGGAACTCCACAGACTGTAGCCTGCGAGGTTCCTCTTTTCATGGGATTCTCCAGGCAAGAATACTGGCATGGGTTGCCATTCCCTTTTCCAGGGGATCTTCCTGACCCAGGAATCAAACCCAGGTCCCTGCATTGTAGGTGAGTTCTTAACCATTTGAGCCACCAGGGAAGCCCACTTTAGCCACACATCACAGCTCAACACTGGGCCAGGAATATGGTAGAAGTAATAAAGTGCTTACGAAGGGTCGTGAGCAAGTAGTAGACAGCTGAGAGGCATCGTTCTCTTCCAGCAGCTATATTTCTTCCAGAACTGGCCAAGTAGATCCATTCTGCTCCTGGGGACTGGGAGTCAGTCTCCAGACTGAATAACCCCCGATCTTAGCATTCCTTCCAATGCCATCCCGTGGTCTCACACTTGGCAAGTCCAAGTCTAAAAGCCAAATCATCACCCTCAAACTTGCACCCTTCCCTGTGTGTCAGTTCATTGGCAGTATCACCCACTTCCACCCCTGTCACTCAAGCCTGAGTATTCCTCAACACCTCCCACCTTTTCCCAAGCCTGGGCCACCACCACCTTTGTTCAGGACAATTTAGAGCCTCCTAAGGGGATCCTGACTTCAGTCTTCCTCACCTCCATCATCTCTTTTGAGTAATCTCTGCAGCACTCACCTGCCAGGAATATCGTTCTGCAAGGTGAATACAATAATGCCCTTCCCATTGATCCATTCCCCACTTGCGCCTGATGTGAAAAAGACTGCTTTTCCACCTCCATCCAAAGCACCTGAGCCAGCCAGGGGCTTGATTTCTTGTTGCCATCAGACCCTTTGCACAAGCTGCCCCTTCAACCTAACCCAGGCTCTCAAACCTCCCCTCCATTGCTCTTTGTTCTACTGTCAGTTGTTTCTTTTACAAATATTTACTGCTTTGCCAGTGGTGGTGGTTTAGTTGCAAGTCTTGTCTGACTCTTGAGACTTCATAGACTGTAGCTCAGGCTTTGTGCTAAATGCTGAGGTTTTGCATGCAATAACCCCCCTAGCCAAATGGGACTTACATCTTAGGACTGTCCACTGAAAGAAAAATACACAACCTAAGAGTGAGTTAAGTTTTATCCAGGGACCTTACACAGCATGATAACCCAGGAAACAGCCTAGCCCTTAAGGGAGGATATATATATGAGATTTTTTTTGCAGCGGGTGGATGGGTGGGAAATCCATCCATCAAATTGAACATCAAAAGATAACTGATCATACACAAAAACCCAGCCATTTCAAGTTAATGACTTAAATGCTCTTCTATGTGTAGGAAGATGCAAGAATCTTGTTGTTCCGTTGCTCAGTTGCGACAGACTCTTTGCGACCCCATGGACTGCAGTACATCAGGCTTCCCTGTCTTTCAATATCTTCTGGAGTTTGCTCAAACTCATGTCCATTGAGTCAGAGAAGCCAGCCAGCCATCTCATCCTCTGTTACCCCCTTCTTCTCTTGCCCTCAATCTTTCCCTGCATCAGGGTCTTTTCCAATGAGTCGGTATGCGCAACAGGTGGCCAAAGTATTGGAACTTCAGCTTCAGCATCAGTCCTTCCAATGAATGCAAGAATCTAGGTTCATTTAAATTATTCCTTAATTTGCATCTTCACTATCTAAGGATCAGTCCATTCAAAACACAGAACGTTTCCTGTTTTCCCCTCAGGCACACTGAGACCAGAGACTGCACTGGCTACAGACTTGATTCCTGCAGAATAGGAATTGCACACAACGTTTATTTTTCCTTTACTGGGGCAACTGACACCTCCTCTGGCACAAGGAGTAGGACGCCTTCCTCTGCCTTCCAGGCACTTCCCATGCAACATCACTTGATGCATTTCCTCTCTCACTGACCCTTTCCCCAATAGTACACAGGAAGGCCTTAACTAGTCAAGACATCGTGGTGACTATGCCCAGGCCACACTTCCCCTGCTCGTTCTGAGGTCCCGAATTAGCGTTCAGAGATTGTGCCCCCGACCACCACCACTTTGAGTGGGAACATCCGAGGATTCCACGGTTCCCCCCCTCCCCAGTTGTCTTAATGGTACGCTCCAAGCACGAGCTCCCGGGTACCGGAAATAAGCCTCGGGGGGGCGGGACCCGTTGCTCAGGGTAACGGAAGGACGGAAGCTGCCGGTTGAGCGGGTTTTTTGGAATTCCGTGGCTGCGTTGAGGTGGAGGTGACCGGCTAGAGGAGCTTCGCGCGCTGCAGGGGAGGTGGGATTCAGCTCCCGGGAGGTAACGGGTCTGGGAGGACAGGACGGCGCCCCTTCCGAATGGCGTTCTGGCGTTTTCCTTGGCCCGAAAGAGTCAGTGTGCCCTGGTGTCTCCGGTTGCGGCCTTTAGCTTTTCTCGCTCCTTGGGCGGCCTACAGTTGGCCCTCTCATTAAATTCTTCTCCTTCAGCGTTCAGCTCCTCCGTCTGAGACATTTCTCTAAACCCGTTTCGCCTTTGTAGCTCGGTCACAGCGCACATCCCCAGCTGCCTCGTTTTATAGTTTCTCTGTGTTTACTTCTCGCTCTCCGAGAAGCCCGGGTGCTAAACCCGCGGCGTCTCCCTTCCACGGTGCCTCACTAACCTCAGGGCCTCTTGACAAGGAGTCTGCTATCCGCACAAGGACTTAACAGCCACTTATCTGTGTGCTACTCAATTCTGGTCTTAGGACTAATTTAGCAAATGTACCTGCTGAAATAGAAGGAGTTCAGCATCTTCCCTTTAGGGTTGGACGTCTCTTTTGGTCAGTATGCCTTTTCTGAATCCTCTACTACCACTCAGCCCCTAACAGAGGGGCTAATCGTAGGTAAGAGTCCCCAGTAGTGGGTAAAAGCATGGGTTTTGGAGTCTGGAGTTGGACAGACTTAGGTTTCAGTTCTACTTCTGCAACTTACTAGCCTTCTAAGTGTGGGGGACGTTCCTTAATTTCACTGAATCCCAAAAGATCTTCATCTGAATTGGGAGTAATAGCACCAGTCAGAGGACTGGTGTGAGGATCAGTATCATTTTTCCCACAAATACTTATTGGGCACCTATTACGAGCCAGGTGCTAAGTCTTGGAGATTCAGTGATAAACAAAACCAGAGATGGCCCGCTGCCCTCCTGGAGTTTGTGATGGAGTGGGAGATGTAGTTCTTAATCTAATAAGTGTAATGTTAAAAGTGTGGTGATGGTGAGAGATTACAGTTGCCTTGAAAGAATGTAATAGGGGAGTGTTTAGACTGAGCTTGTAAAGGAGTGTGGCATTGAGCTGAGACCTGAAGGATTTTTAGGAATTAACAATAAAAAGATTGGTGGGCAGGGGATGAAAGAAGGGGTATTTATTTTTATATAAGTTCCAGACAGAAAATCATGTGAAATTGTCTGTGGCAGGAGGAACTTGGGGGTTTGAAGGACTCAGCAGTTCAGTGTAGCTGGCATATAGAGTGATGAAAGAGAATTAGCATGGACCAGACCTTTATATCCTGACGTCAGGATTTTGGACTAATAATGGAAAGCCACCAAATCGTTTTTAAGATGAGGATGAGTCACAAATCTGGTTTGTTGTTTCAAAGACATATTAGCTGCTGTGTGGGGAATGAGTTAGGAAGCTGTGTAGTAGTTCTGGTGAGAGATGATGGTGACTTTGGAATAATGTGGCAGTAGTGGATTTCAGAAGTAGACTTGAGAGATGTTTGGGGACACAGGACTTGGTAGTGGCTGTGGAGGATGAAGGTGAAGTGGTTAAGAATGTTGCCCAGGTTTCTTGTTTCAACAGCTGGGTGGATGATGGTATAATTTAGGGAGATTGAAAACAGCAGGAAATACAGGAAGGGGTTTTCTTTCCACCAGTCTGCGTTGCCCTCTTCTCGTAATACTCCCATAGCTACTCACTACTCACTAAAGCCTATCTGTGTAATGTGCTTCCACTTCACCCTTTCCTTTGCACTCTCCAGAGTCAGCCACCAACATCAGCTTTTGTCACTACTGCTGAAAATAGCTCCCAGTAGCCTCTTAGCCTATGCTCTTCTTTGTTATTCCCTCCCTACTTTAATCTGCGCATTGATGCCATATTTAGTTTCTCAAACACCGATTCAGTCTTGTCAGATTCTCTTTTACTCCAGAACTTTTTGTCACTGTTACTTACAGGATAAAGTCTAACTTCCTTAATTCGACATTTAAGATCTTGCACAGTTTATCCCCACCCTTTTACTAGCCTTCCTTCTCCCTGCTCCCCTAGTTGAACTCTCTACCTCAGGCTACGTACTCATTTTCCCCAAGTAAATTTTTCGGATTCCCTTATGAATGCCTTTGTTGACAATACTTTCCTTCCCAGTAATGTACCATGTGGTTCTGGTGACTATCTAAATTTAATCTTTACATTCCAGTTCAAGGTTTCCTTTGCTGGGAAGCCTGCTTGATGTTTGAGCACACATTTATTTCTTAGCCTTGTTAACTTTTCATTTATTTTTATACCATTTAATTGGTATAAATGCATTTGCAGTGCTATTGCTTTATTCATTTATTGTGTATGTGTAGATAATAGTATATATTTGCAATATTGTTAAATGACAGCTTTGTTCTAGGTAGCATAATGGGTAGATACTAAAAAAAAGAAAATGTGAACAATTGAATTATGAGACCACTTGATTAGACTACAGCTTTCTAATAAGGAAATTCCAGGGGATTCTCCAGATTCTTCGGTTTGGCTAAGAATCACCTACTCCTACAGTTGGTAGTCCTTAGCCTGTTGAGTACCCATTGTGTACATAACATGTTTGAAATACTCAGTTAACAAGTAGAGAAGGGAAAAAATCAAATTTGTTTACTTTTGGTAGTTTCATCCAGCTCTTGACATTTTTCCTTTTCAGTTCCTTGCTGTGTGCAACAATGGACCAGAAAATTTTATCTCTAGCAGCAGAAAAAACAGCGGACGGCCTACAGGAATTTCTTCAAACCCTGAAAGAAGATGATGTGAGTATTGGGAAGCAAGTTCTGCCAAAAGCAGATGCCAGGCATGATGACAGATGCAAGGGACATATTAGAATTAATTCTGCCACTTCATCTATCGCCCACTCTCCTTAGAAGACAAGGGTTTATTTGATAACAATTCATAGATGTAAAGAAATGGGGGAGAGGAAGAGACATGGACTACTTAAGGCCATTTCTGTACATTTATACAACTGTATAATTTCTTGGGAACATACAGTTTAATGAAATCGACCCAGTTTGAGATGGAGTGCTTAAACAGATCAATTTTCATAAAAGAAAAAAAGTTAGCAGTTCAACAAAAATACCAGGCCCAGACAGTTTTGCAGGAGGCTTCTACCAAACCTTTAGAGATCAGAGATAAGAGCTAGATAGTCCCAATGCTACACAAGTTGTTTTAGAGCATATATATTACATAATGTATGTACATACATAAGGAAAGCTTCCAAGTGCTTTTTATAAAATATAACATTGATGTCCTAAACCTGATAAAGACAGCTTGAAGGGGCTTCCATTGGTGAAATGTGAACATCAAAATAATCAAATTCAGTTATGAATTATAAACCACTGAAATATAAAGAAATCCGTGAGTCCATATTGATAATAAAAATAAATAAATGGTGAGAAAGGTTCTTGCTTACCATAAAGTTAGAAAATCATCATTTGTCAACAATCATGATCAACATTGGATCAGGCAGAAGCAGCAGTGGATGCTAAATCCAGGGAGAAGTTTTTTGAACTTTTTATTTTGAACTGATTTTAGACTTACAGAAAAGTTGTAAAAATAGTAGAGTTTCCATATAGTTCTCTCCCCAGTGTTAACATCTTACATAATAATTTCAGTAAAATTTTACGAACCAGGAAGTTAATATTTGTACAACACCTTCAGTGAGACTAAAGACTATTTGAACCCTACCTGGTAGTTTTTTCACTGATACCCGATTTTTTAATGTTCCAGAATCCTACTCAGGATCCTACACTGCACTTAATTGTTATTTTCCCCTGATTTTCTGCAATCTGCAACTGCTCCTCAGTCTTTCTCTGTCTTTTGAGAACACTGAAGAGTTTTGATCCATTATTTTGCTGATTGTCTGATGTGTCTCATGATTGGACTCAGGACATGCATCCTTAGCAAAAAGACCACAGAAATGGCTCCATGCCTTTTCACTGTGTGTCATATCACTGGGCTTGTGATATGTCATACCTGGTGATGCTGACTTTGAGAACCTGATATCAGAGTTTGCTGCTGGGCTTTTTCATTATACAAGAGAAAGTTAGATGAGGAGCACGATATTTGCATAGTCTTAAAGTTTCTTCCACAAACTGCATACTGCTTGCAAAGGGAGGGAAAAAAAAATTATAAAGTGGGAAAATAAGGCAACACATTTGACTGGGTGATCAGATTCATACTACCAGTGAAGGACAGATGGTATCACATGCCTCCAGGTGTGATACTCCAAGAAGGACACAGTATCACTTGTATTCTGGCCAAGAATGCATAAACTCAGTCTAATCATGAGGAAGCATCAGACAACAGAAAATGAGCACTGTCCTGTCTTATAAAAATCTATTTTGAAAAAAAAAAATCTATTTTGATGGTGCCATTAACTTGGTAGTTCCAGTCTGTCCACTAAAAGAAAAAATTTTAAGCTTTCCAACGTAACAAGGATACTTAATCTTACCTGGAGCTTTTCTGGTGCCTCAGATGGTAAAGAATCTGCCTGCAATGCAGGAGACCTGGATTCAGTCTCTCGGTGGGGAAGATCCCCTGGAGCTGGGAATGGCTAACCCACTCTAATATTCTTGCCTAAGGGAATCCCATGGACAGAAGACCCTGACGGGCTGCAGTCCATGGGGTCGCAAAGGGTCGGACATGACTGAGTGACTAATACACACTTAGTTTACTTTTGCGTTTTAAAATGTAGTAAAAAGGTAACAGAATAAGGTCAAAAAACTAAGACCGCAGATCATGTAACTAGAGGGAGGAAGACGAAATAGGAGTAGAGGACAGAAGGAGTGGAAGAGAGCTAACATTTGTTGAGAGCCTGCTGTGCACTAGACCTGTACAGGGTCCTCTACCTGCCATCTAATGTGTACAGGGTCCTCTACCTGCCATCTAGTGTAGTCCTTCTAACAGTGCTTTGAGGCAGGAAGTAGACACACATAACAGAGGTTAAATAACTTGATGTTATAAAGCTAATATATGACAAAGCGAGGATTCATATCTGGGTCTTCTGATTCTGGGGCCAGTTTTTTTCCCTGTATGCCACTTTGCCTTCTCTTAAAACTGAATTTTTTCAAGAAGAGCCAGGGTTTCTCAGCCTTGGCACTGTGTGTATTTTAGAGTGGATAATTCTTTATTGAGGGAGGTTGTCCTATGCATTGTAGGTTGTTTAATAGCATCCCTGGCCTACACCCATTAGGTGACAGCACCCTTCCAGTTATAACAACTAAAAATGTCTCCAGACTTTGCCCTGTATACCCTGCCTGGGGTGGGGGTGAAGGGGTAACCCCTGGTTGGGAACCTCTCCTCTAAGGGTTATGTCAAGGGCTATTGGAGGTTCCAGGCAGAGCAGTCAGTTATTTCCTTGTTAAGTATTTAAGAAGGGAGAGATGAACTCCAGTCAGAAAGAGCAGGCACATGTAGAAGAGATCAAATTCAGTATTTTATTGGTTTTGGCCTCTGTGATAGTCCTTTGTCTGGATATTATCAACCTTATCTCAGTTTTTGCTGGCTGCTGCTGCTTAATCACTGAATGTTTGTGCTTTTTTCATCTTTACATTTTCTCCCTGGATGATCTTACATGTTCCCATTGACCTCTTTCCTCTGAGCTCTACTTTGGCATATCCAGTTATCAACTTGACATTACCACTTGGATATCTTAGGAATAGTAGTTCTGAGCCCCACATCAGATCTGCTAAATCAGAAACTGCAAGTGGAAGTCTCTGTTTTAACAATCCCTCTGAAAGATTTAGATGCTTGCTTAATCCCAAATTTTCACCATGTCAGTAAATGGTGTCACCATCTACCCAGTTAGTTGCTTAAGCCAGAAATTTTGAATTCTGCTTGATTTCTCTTTTTCCTTTATCACCACAGCCATTTCACTTCTAAATCATGAGGAAATCTGTCTTTGTCTTAGTCCATTCAGGCTGCTATAACAAAATACAGTAGACTGGGTGACTTATAACAATTATTTCTCATAGTTCTGGAGACCAAAAGTCCTGGATGATGGTTCCAGTGTGGTCAAGTGAGCGCCCCCTTCTGGGTTTCAGGCTTCTTATTGTACCTTCATATGGTAGAAGGAACCTGGGAGCTCTGTGGGATCTCTCATAAGAGCCCTAATCCCATTTGTGGAGTTCTGTCCTTATACCTATTCACCTCGCAGAGTCTCCACATCCAAATACCATTATAATGGGTCTGAAGAGTCCAACACATGAATTTTGGGGGACATAATCATTCAGACCATGGTAAAGTCCTCCTGATCAAGCTCTCAAATATATCTTCAGTATACCGATTTTCAAATTAAGATGGGGTTATATCCCAATAAACCCATTTTAAGGTGAAAATATTATACATTGAAAAATACTGTAAACCAGAAATGCATTTAATACACCTGCCAAACTTCGTAGCCTACCCTTACTTTCAGTGTGTGAAGAATACTTGCATTAGTCTTCAGTTGGGAAAAATCGTCCAACAGCCTGTTTTTTAATAAAGTCTTGAATATCTCATGTAATTTACTGAATACTATTCTGAAAGTGAAATACTGAATGGTTGCATGGGTGCAGAGTGGTTGTATGTGTATTTGTTGTTTATCCTTGTGATCCCAAAGCTGATCACTAGCCCAGGAAAGGATAAAAATTTGAAATATAATACCTACTGAATGTGTATCACTTTTGCACCACTGTAAAGTTGAAAAATCATCAGTTCATCCATTGTTTTAAGTTGGGGACCATCTGTACTTCATCTTACAAAGTAATTACAAACTGCAGTAGCTACTGTTTTTACAGTTCTGAGGACTGGAAGTCCAGAATCACAGTGTTGACATTGTTGGTTCCTACTAGGGCTGTGATTATCCATTTCATGCCGCTTGCCTAGCTTCTGGTCGATTGCTGACAGTCTTTGACATTCCTGGCCTTGTGTCACCTACACATGGTCTCTGCCTTCATCTTCACATAGCATTCTTGCTGTGTATGTGTTTCTGTCCCAAGTTTGCCATTCTTCTAAGGACATTAGTCATATTGGATTAGGGCCTACCCATATGACCTCACCTTAACTAATTACACCTACAATGACCCTGTTTCCAAATAAAATCACATTCTGAGGTGCTGGGGATTAGAACTTAAGCATGAATTTTGGAGGGGAACACAGTTCAACTCATGACTTCTCTGATTACATCAGTGTAGGCCATTATCTCTCTCTCGATCACTGTAGCAATCTCCTAACATATTTCTATTTCACTCTTAAACCCTTCCACAGTGTATTTTCTACCACAGTAGGGAGACTGATTTTTTTTAAACATCTATCATGTCCCTCTCTTCTCTTTAGTTACTTCTGTTGCACTTAGACAAAAATCTGAACTTCCTTCCATGGCCTACAAGATTCTTATCATCTGATTCTCTTGAAATTCATCTTGTGCCACTCTTCCTTACTACTTTTCATCCAAATTGGTCTTTTAAATTTTTTTTTTCAGGCCATCCAACTTGCCAGACTCCTTGCTCCTTCAGGACCTTTGCGTGTAACAATACCTTCATCTGAAGTGTCTTCCTTTTCCCACTTTGCATAACCAGCTTTTTCTCATCCTCTAATTCTCTATATGGAGATGTCCTCCGCCTCAGAGAAGCTTTCTCCCTGACTATTCTAGCTGAAGTTGCCTCCCTTTTCTCAATTATTGTCTATTTCAGTCTTTTCAACCATTTCTTTTTCTGATTTTTTTTCCTGTTATCCTTTTTCTCTGTCCTACTGTAAACTG